TTATCTACCTAGCGGACGCGTTAAGTGAATGGTGAAATTCTGACTAGAAGATGTAGCTCCTCAGCCCATGCTGAGTATCCCTCCCATGGAGAAGTGCCCAACTGGTGTCTCTTGGGCAGTAGCTCACCAACTTTAGGAGGAAACTGCATTTGTAATAAGTAAACTGGTTTATAACAAAAACCACATGGCCCACAAAGCCTAAAATACTTACTTTCTGGCCATTTACAGAAAAAGTCTGTTGACCCATGACCTAAAGTATATTAGCTTAAAAAATTTTTTTCGGCATATTCACACAGCACAATACTACTCAGCAACTCAAATGAAGAAAACTCTGTGCTATAATATTGATAAATCTCACACATATAATGAGTGAAAGAACACAGAAGCAAATAATACATATTGTATGATTCCATTTATGTAAATTTCAGAAACTGGCAAAACTTATCTTTGGTGACACTGAATATACTTGGGGAAAGGAAGGTGATAGTGATCAGAGGGATTATGAAGGGGCTTCTGGAAATGTTCTAAGTGTTGTTAGAAACATTTTTTTTTAATAACTCATTGAGATGTTCATTTATATTTTATGCACTTTTCTCAATCTATATCATACTTTGTTGTAAAAGCAAAAAACTTTACAAAAATGTAACCAAAGAAAAATAAATTTACCAGGCTTCTTTTCATAATTAAGGAAGTAAGTACACATGTACCCTGGTTATTGAGATATAGTTGGCCCCTGGACCACACTTGGAAAAATAGTGGTGTAAAGACAAGTTTGCACCTGACACCAAAGTGATCATTTAGCCCCAGACAGCTTCCTGCTGACTGACTTTGTATGGATCCAACACTGAAAAGGCTTCAGCTTTTCCAGACTGATGTGGTCATTGTGGTAGACAATAGTTTCACCCCCTTTTGTCAAAATAATGCTCTAGCTACTTTCTAGCCCAGAAGCCAAAGGAACACTAGAAGCCTCTTTCAATTACTAACTCGGCTCCAAGAATAAGCTTGACTAAATTTCCAACTGAACCTTAAGCACTATGTCAACAATCCTGGGGAAAATGATACCAACTTTAAAGAGAAAGGAGGTTAACTTGATTTAAAACCAGTTATCTTACCATAGGAAACCCATTTTAAGTAGTGTTAGCCCAAGAAGAGCCCACAACTTTTGGTTTGGTGGTGGTGGTAGTTGTTTTGGTCTTACATTAGAGCATCCTCATTGGTAACTGTCAGTCACTCTCTTCAAAACTTTCTCAACAAGTTCCACATGACACATCACTACTACGTTGACCAGTTTAGTGGACATCTGTTGTTTGTGTCTGCCCAGGCTTGCATTCCCACTTCTGGTAGTGGCACCCCATTCTCTTTTGGACAACTACTCCAATCTATTGTTCTTTGTGAGGCTTCCAATCAAGCCAGCTCGCCTTTCCCTGGCCAAAGGATTTAAACACATGACCCAAACTAGGCCAATTAGACACTCTTCCTAGAATATAAATGCCTATCACCATCTCTAGACTAGGAACTCCTCACCAGCAGAGACAAGGTTTTATTCATCTCTATACCTCTGATGCCTAGCACAGTGCCTGGCTATAAATATTCAATGCATGTGGGTTGAATGAATTGCAAAGAAATCATGTACCTTAAATATATGCTGAGCAAAATCTATCATTTCCCACAGAATTCTGGAAAGGGAGCAAATTGTATGATGTTTTGCAAGGGAAATGTCCACTTTAGTAGCTAGGAAATATGCATCAGAAATAGTATCCCAAGTTGCCATTTCTCAGTGCACTAAAGATGTCAATCAGTCCAATAAAATAAAGCCCCAAAAAGACAAAAAGAGAATTACCTCATTACCTCAACATCTGCTTGAACACAAGCAATCGCACACTGGCTAATTTTTTTTAAAGGGACATAATATAACTTTCTAGAAAGACATAATATAGTTAATTATACCATTCACCAAAAGAGAACATACAATGTTTTGAAGTAATTCAGAAGTGGGTGTGATTTATAAGACATAGAGCTTAGGGAATGGTAAGTATAAATTAGAGATTGTTCATATTATGACAGACTCTGTCATTACATTTCACAACTTTTGTCAAAAGCAACCTTATTCACCACACCACTGAAGCCTTCACATTAGGGAAGGCTGCTGTCAGCTATGCCATTTAGAGTAGATAGGAACCCTCTTTCTGAACACTCTCCTGGGGAAACGGGCTCAAATTTTAGACTTGCAACTCAGTAGGGAACGAACGATATGATAAAACCTAAATGGCCAATAAACATGTAAAAAGATTTCAAACCCCACTGACGACCAGGTAACACAAATTTTTTAAAGGTACCATTTTTGTTCATCAGACCAGCAAAAATTAAGAAAGTTGTCAGGCTGTCAAAATCAGTAAAGATTGCTGCTGGTCAATGTTGACCAGCATGTGGGGAAATGGGCAGTGCTGGGGTGAACGTGAACCGGTAAAGCCACTTTGGCGGGCACTTTTGCAATGTCTGGCACAACTCTGTGTACAAGCCCTCTAATCCAAGAACTCCATTTCTAAGAATCTATCCTAGAATAAAAAATGTATAATTGTACAAATTTATTTGTATGATTATTTGATTAATGACTGTCTATTTGACAAGAAACTCGGAGAGAGTAGGGACTGTCTGGTCTACCATCTCTACCCCCAATGCCTAGCACATGAGCCTCATATATGGTAGGTACCTGCTAAGGTTTTGTTAAAGGAATAAATTAATGTACACTCAGCATTAAAAAAGGAATACAGACTAATTGATCATGAGCCCTCTTGATCACATTAAATAGGAGTAGTGGAATTATTCACAATGTTAACAGGTAGTAAAAAGTATTGTCTATTTTCAAAAATAAATCATAGAAACCAATAGCACGCAAAATTGATCATAGTATTGGTAAGAGCCCAAACACCTAATTGCCTATTTTTCTATCTCAAATCCCTAGCTTCCTAGTTAGTTCCATAGGTCAAATGGCAATTAAATACTCTTGAAATAAGTCAATTGTTATCACAGCCTATGATCCAATGACAAACAAATGCCCAGGTGTCACAATGTATAAAAATCACACTGTGAGCTGAAGAAATCCCAACACCTGTGTAAACAGATTCACTACCGTAAAAAAAGGTGTACCTTTTAAGAAACACAAATTTCAAAGTCTAACTGTTCCATTGCCTTTGATATACTTATAATCAAGGAAAAATATCCTCTAAAAACACCAATGCCATGGATTTGTCTGTTTTCCAAATATAATACAAGAAAAGAATCAGAAACTTAAGAATGCTCCCTTTTTCATCAGCTCACAAATCCAACAGAGAATGTGTTCCAAAATCAAATACAAATAACTTGTAGATTATCTGAATTTTAATCCATCCTTGAAATCACATACAGAATAAAAGAAGTAAAATTTTTTATTTTATTTGAAAACTGACCATCCATCAAAAAGATCTGATAACCACTGACAGATATTACTAATAATGAAAGTTCCAAAAGTCTAGAATATGAATTAAGAGTCTTTATGTTGGGGGGGGGCTGTTATTAGAAATAAAATACTAATAGAATCCAGCCCCTCACTAAAACACTTGAGAAATTCCAGATAAAGGCATTATGCCCACCCACTAGATTCACTGATGCTTGTGACTTCATGACCTTAGGCTAATATAGGATAGGAGTTGAAGGTACTGGGAAGGCGAAAGCCATTTTTATCCAACATTTTCTAGATGCTAGATACCACAAAGGAATGTGTCTGTCCATTTCAGTGAGGTAAAATAATTTCCCCAAGGTCACACAGTTAGTAAACAGTCAGGTTGAGATTTGTTTTCAGGAGTGTGGACTCCAGAGGAATCCACGTATCCTTACAAATGGTATGTTCGTGGTTTCAAGGAGCAACAGGTCAGGACTTAGTGAAATCATCTGGTTTAGCCCTTGCCTTTAGTCAGGTAGGGCTTGATCAACACAAGACCCACAGAAGGGAAGAGACTTTCAAGTTCACAGAGTTGGTGAGTTGAGCCAAAAGAAGTGAAAGAGCTGCGACTAAATACTAGGACTAGCCACAGAGAAGGGCCCCCTCCCACTAAATGGCCATGTCAGCAAGTTATTCAGAAAACCACATGTTCCTACACATTTTTACTTCCTAAATCGCTATGTTTTCTCTCTTTCTTGGCCCATCTTCGCAGGCCACCTTTGGTCAGGGTAATAATAATTTTAAATTTTAAAAGTGTAAGGTTCACATTTGATCACTAATTTGGCTTTGTTCAGAAGTGTGGTAAGTGATGAAAATGATTGATTAAAACAGTTTATTAAGGCATAATCTCCAGTTACCAGGCAGTGTAGAAATGCATGTATGTACATGGCCCGACTTTCCTGCGGACCAGAGCCAAGTGTGAATTCAGGAAGCCCGACACAGGCAGGGTATTGACTCACTAATAAATTGCTAAAAATGGGAAGTGATAAAATACACCATGGCCTGAAAATCCTAGCTGGGTAAAAAAAGAGGAAATAAACCAAACCGGAATGAAAAGCTGGAAAGGCCCTGAAGCAGCGCTGCAGGCCTCCCAGCGCCAGTGTACAAGGGTGGGGCCAAGCCAAGGGAGCAGAGCCAGCTGAGCTGCCCAAAACGTCCCCTCCCAAGATAGCCAGCCCTACTCGCTACACCCGCGTGGAAGCTGGTACCGTGGGGCGTCGTCCGCGCCAGTCCCTGTCCCTTCCCCCAACTCCCGATCGTCTGCTAAAGCAACCAGCGGGTAGCGCCTCCCGCACCGCAGGGCCCGATACTCCCCGGCACCCGCACATTACTCTTGGCCCTGGGCTCTCCAATGCGCGCGGGCGCGGAGGACGCTTCTCCACGGGTGACGGAGCTACTAAGGGGGCTACAGCGGCCCCAACACCTCCCGCCCAGCTTCCACCAGCCCCAAACCCAGCGCCCCGGAGCCGTCCCCGCCCACGGGCCGGGGCTGCCTGCACCTGGCGGCCGCGCGCCCGCCTACCTTGCTCCTTCAGACTGGTGATGAGCTGCAACTGCTTCTCTTCGTCCGAGCTGTTCATTTTGGCAGGTGGGGCCCGGAATAAAAGGAAAGGAGGGAGAGGCGAGGGGTACAACGCGGGGAGGAGGGAAGAAAAAGCAAGATGCCGGTGGCGTGCGGCTTCACTACCCGGAAGTTGGATTTGCTCCCGCTCCTCCTCCTCCTGGCGCGGAGCGCACGAGTGAGATCATCCTCACGCACCTACTCAGCGGGCGCGGTGCTTCACCTGCAGGCAGCCCGCGGGGCGGGGTCGGGGACGGACTAGCAGCCCGGGGACAGGAGATGGGGTCGATGGAGAGACCTGCGGTGGCACTGGGACCGCAGCCCGAGCCTTAGCCTGCGGCGGCCGCTGCGCTTCAGCTTTGTGCACGGAGGCCGGAGCCGCAGGATGAGCAGGCAGGAGGGCGTGCAGACCTGTCTGTCTGGTTTCTGGCTCGCTCTTGGACCCCTTTCTCCGCCTCCACCCCCTGGACATCAAGACGCGCATTCAGCAGAAAAATGGCCCTTAGTTTGCAGCATCTGTGGGAACCCCACTTTGAACGCCACCCGAGGGCCGCTGTCCGCGAGCCGCCGCAGTAGAGCAGGAAATAAGGGGCAGTAAACACCCAGGCTTCTTCCCCAAGTCTCACACAGCGGACTCGGGGCGATGTGGGAAAACCTAGGTGCCCGCAGGGGCAGGCTCAGTGTTGTAAATTTTGCACCTGAAGCAGACAGGGACTGAAACAGTCCAGCCGGTAAATTAACACCTAGTGAGCGAAGGAGGGCGTGGTAGTCAGTTAACAGTTCCCCGGGCCTGATGGGGCTTCCACCAGCCGCGCAGGGTTTGACAGGTGGTCAGAACGTGGACCCTGCAGCACGTGAATCCCTGGGCCTCGAGGATCATTTGGTTAGCAGTGGGAGGGCATCCTCTTTAAAGAGGCTGCCACTGCAGTCAGAATGCCCAGGGTCACGCAACTGCCTAACAGCAGAGCCTGGCAGAGGGAAGTCCAGCATTTATCCCATTTCATTGCCCTTTGCACTGTTTAAACTCAGCTCCGGATTAGACCCTGACCAGAAGACGGGCGGCAGGCCTGCCAGATTTCAGGATTGCTCTCCCCAACCCCCAGTTGTTGGTTAGTCTTTGGTCAAGTCTCCGGACCTCTTTGAAGTTCATCTAAAGGATGAGAATAATACTAATACCTACTCTCCAGGAAGAGTTGTAAGGATTGAACAGAGAGAGGAAGATATACAAAACACCAAATCCAGAATTTGACATACAATAGATGTTCTTTTTTTCTTTTTTTAAGTGAAGGTTACAGGTATGTGAAAAAGGGGTTGTAGATGCTAACTATAAGCTAAAATAGGCACCGTTTATTTACACTGATTATTAAGCATCCAGAATAAGTCCAAAATGAATTAGACTTACTGCGCATCTTGGTTTTCCCACTACCTCAAAGCTCTTAACGTGGGTACTACACCAGCACAGTGCTTCTGCTCATTCCTCGCTTGCTATTTTATGCAAATACCCAACTCCATTTAGGGAGTGGGACTCTCCACGATGGATGGGGGAGATGGGCTGGAATATAGGGAAATGCTGTAACTAGTATCTGCCTGATACTCCTACTAAATTCTAATTCAAAATAAGCTGAAAAAACAGCAATGCTTTCTCTTCTAAAAAGGTGAGATAATATTTTAGTATGGGTGACTTAGTGGTAGAATAATGTAAAAGGGCAGCACAGTATTTTTAAATAGAGTGAATCAAAATTTTGCAACTTTAAAAATAATTTTGGTATGGGTTTTATTATTCAGTCCTTTCCCTAGTTTTTCAAAAGATCATTTAAGACAGTTGCAGATCAGCTGCCATGAAGATCCCCAGGAGATAACCAAATAGCCTTTGCCCTGAGATTGCATCTTAATCCTCAGAGGTTAAAGAAGGCCTAGGAAACATGAGAGAATTCAGACTCAACTACATGACAATATAAATTATATGTGCTGCCAACAGGTATTCTGTATAAAGAAAACTCATTTCTTTCCAGAAAAAAATCAAAAAATTTGCGTAACAAATCATTGCCGTGTAGCTTTTGTACAGCAGCCAGGAAACCTGTTAAACCTGATCAGTCACCCTGACTGCTGGGCAATGCCCGGAGGCCTCCTCCAAACACTAATAATCAGAAATATTTTCTCATACTCAACCAAATATCGGCAAAGTGCCCGTTAAATATTTGGCTTAGTTCACACGAAGTTCCATTTTTTTAATGGCTGATAGAATTGTCTACCCCAATTATACAGTAATTAGGCATCACTTTCAGAGTTTAAGAATTAGTTAATTAACTATCAAATCTATAATCAAATTGAGTGCTTTGGTCCCACACAGGATCTGCAGACCCTTGAAATTAATCCTGTTTACCTTCCTTGAAATTAAAATGGCCTCCTGAAATACAATAAGGTATTATCTTGAGGGCATGGAATGAATTATTAGGAAGGCTATCAGAGTCAATTATTGGGATTCAGATCTCCCATTACTCTATGGTTTATTTATATGATATGAATATTGATGGAAAGGATAGAAGTGATATAATTAGTTTTTGTTCTGTTTAATAATGCACATAGGGATTTATGTTGCAGGCATCACAATGGATTTATTAACCTCCATGTAACATGTAATTAAAAACCTTTAAAAAAAGGTGTGTGTGTGTGTGTATATATATATATAGATACATATGTATAGACAGAGAGGGGGGAGGAGAGACTTTTAAAAAATGAATTGGATGGGTATGTACCAAATTCAGGACAATGGCTGCCTCTAGGGGGAAAAGTAGAGGAACAGGCCCAAGGGGTAAGGAGTGGAGTGGGAGAGAGGAGTGGTCAAAAGGATTTTCTCTGTAATATTTGTTTGCATTTTCAGGAAATTAAAGTAAAATCACATTTATGTAATCTTTTGAGGCATATAGATAAATAAGATAAAAATGCAATAGGAAAAAAAAGTTCATTTCCTTTGACCCACTAATTCCATATTAGGGAATCTATCCTAAAAGGTTTTATGCACAGAGCTATTTATTATAATGTTAATTATGATATAAAATGATAATATTGGGATATTACCTTGAAATAAAAGGAAATAAATTATTGATACATGTTACAACATGGATGAACTTGAAAACATTATGCTAGGTGAAAAAAGCCGGTGAGAAAACACGAGATATTGTATGATTCCATTGATATAGAATGTCCAGAATAGGCAAATCCATAGAGAGAGAAAGTTGATCACTGGTTGTCTAGGATTGGGGGTACTGGAGAAAATGAGTGACTGTTAATAGATGGGGGGGGTTTGTTGCTGGGGTGATAAATTTTTTCTAAAATGTGGTGATGGTTGCACAACTCTGTGAATATATTCAAAATTGTTAGAATTGTACACTTTGCATGGAAGAATTTTATGGTATGTGAATTACATCTCAATAAAGCTGTTAGAAAAAACAGCTTTTCAAAGGAAGAAAACTTATACCTTAATACACGACTTATATAACTCTATTAAATTTATGTTTCTGATACAAATATTTTTCACTTTACAAATCTTTGTATATATAATAGTTTGTTCTACCTTTTACTAAACATTATTTCATATACGTTTTATCTTATACCAACATAATCTACATATTTATTTAATGCCATTCCATTATATCAGTGAATACTTAGCCATTCTCAAATTCTTAAATATTTGAGTCATTACCAGTATTTGTCTCTTTATAAAGAGTGCAGCAGGAATACAAGGACTATCCCTAGGCATATCATAGTTAAACTGTTAAAAACTAAACATAACATTTTGTTCTTAAAAGCAGCTAAAGGAAAATACATATTACATACTGGAGAACAATAATAAAAGTGATGGTACACTTTATTATTTAATGTTGTAATCACTAAAGGACTACAACAAAATTCCAGATTCAACAATGTAAAATTCACAATATCCAGCATCCAAGAATTACAGTAAACAAAGAAGCACAAAAATATGACCCATTATGAGGAGAAAAATCAGTCAATAGAAACAAACATAAATGACAGAGATGATGAAATTAGCAGACAAGGACCTTATAAGGAATATAAAAAGTCTTATAAATATAATCAAAGATATAAAGGGAAACATGAACAAGATGAGGAGAGAAACAGGAGTTATAAAAAAGCACTCCAATGGAACTACAAAAAATATCAAATCCATAAACACCAGATAGGATTTACTGCAAACTAGACAATGCAGAAGAAAAGATCAATGATCTTGAAACACAGCAACAGAAGTCACCCAAAATGAAATATACAGAGGAAAAAAAGATTTTTTGAAAAATAAACATCACAGCCCTGAAACACAATACCAGTCAGTTTAACAAACATAAAATGGATGGCCCACAAGGAGATGAAAGAATGGTATATTTTTTAAAAAATTTTTAACTGACAAAATAATGGCTAAAAAGATCCCAAATTTGATGAAAGATGAATTTACAGATTCAAGTTCACTGATTCATTCCACACAAGGATCATTAATAAGGTTAACAGCAGATTTCTCATCAGAAACCATGGAAACCTTGAGTCAGTGGGCTGGCATATTTAAAGTCCTGAAAGTAAAAAACTGTCAACCAAGAATTCTGTATCCTGGGGCTGGCCCCGTGGCCAAGTGGTTGAGTTTGCACGCTCCGCTGCAGGCGGCCTAGTGTTTCGTTGGTTCAGGTCCTGGGCACGGGCATGGCACTGCTCATCGGACCATGCTGAGGCGGCGTCCCACATGCCACGGCTGGAGGGACCCACAGCGAAGAATGTACAACTGTGTACTGGGGAGGATTTGGGGAGAAAAAGGAAAAAAATAAAATCTTTAAAAAAAAAAAACAATTCTGTATCCAGAAAAACGATCCTTTAGAGATGAGGGAGAAATTAAGACATTCCAAAATAAACAAAAGGATGTAATTACCACTAGATCTCCTCTACAAGGAATGCTAAAGAGAGTCCTTCAGGTTTAAATGAAAAGGCACTAGACAGTAACTGAAACCTATATGAAGAAATAAACATCTCTGCAAAAGGTAAATAGATGGGTAAATATAAAAGTCAGTATTATTGTATTCTTGATTATAACTTCATTTTTTATTTCCTACATTATTTAAAAGACAAGTATATTAAAAATAATTATAAATCTGTGTTATTGGACACACATATAAAGGTGTAATTCCTGATAACAATAACATAATAGGAGTGATAGAGTATATAGGAGCAGAGTTTTTGAGTGCTATTGAAATTAAGATTGTATTAATTCAAATTAGAATGTTATACATTTCAGATGTGAAATATAATCCCCATAGTAACCATAAAGAAAATATCAATAGAATATATACAAAAAAAAATGAAAATGGTTAACTACAAAAACAAACACACCTAAACACAAAATAAGGCAGTAATGTAGGAAATGAGGGGCAAAAATGGTATAAGGCAGGGGCTGGCCCCGTGGCCGAGTGGTTAAGTTCGTGCGCTCCGCTGCAGATGGACCAGTGTTTCGTTGGTTTGAATCCTGGGCACAGACATGGCAC